GGTTCAGCAGGTACATAGCTGTCGTCACAGCTTCTCCCCAGAACACGCCAGGAAGAGCTTTTTGCCTTCAGCATGCTCAGTATAGTTACTGCTTTGATAGGAAAAAAATACATTAATCTAGAACTAGTACAAGCCCAGCCAGTTATTACTCACGAGTATAGTTATTTGGCAATGCAGAGACAATCCAGAACAATCCAACTAGGCTATCCAATCTGTGAAACAATCGAAAAAAGGCTAGCTGCTTCTCTAGGCCTTGTTTAGTTTACATCAAAATTCCAAGTTTTTTCACTCTCTCTCCATCACATCAATTTTTGGACGCTTGCATGGAGTATTAAATATAGGTAAAAAAAAAACTAATTACACAGTTTAGTTGAAAATCACGAGATGAATCTTTTGAGCCTAGTTGGTCCACGATTAGACAATATTTACCAAATAAGACGAAAGTGCTACTATTCATCGGGTTGAAAAAATCTTCAATCTAAACAAGGCCCTAGTTTGAATAAATTCTTGGACAAATGAAATGCAGTACTATCCAGAAAGTGAGTGCAGTACTATCCAACCAGGGACAGCTAGCAACTAGCATTTTCTCCATCGTCGTACTTGCTGTTTGTCTTTTATATATTATCATTTGCTCCCAAGCTAGTTTGTTTATTTGCTTATCTTTTCTGTGACAGATACCAATGAATATCTTCATCCTGAGCACAGGGGCTGGTGGGTCGGCATCAACCTTACTTCTGCTGATACCTGTATCCTCTATGATAGTGATCTGGAACTTGTATTCAGGTTAGGCTCTTAGACTGGTCTTGTGTTGTGTTTTGCAGGTACAACAGTATCAGTAACAGCTCTGGCTCCATTTTTAGGTAAGTAGCATAGCAGACTAGCAGTTCACATCACGTCTTCTGGTCAGTATTACCAAATTAGTTTTCTGAGTGTATTGCTTGCATTACTAGCACTTGGGCACTGTCATAAGGTGTTGCCCTGAGGTATTATCAAATCCATAGATCCATGATGTGTAAAATCATTTTCACCGAGTTATTTTCCTATGGTTTTCACAATTTTCTGCATGGATTAGTACAAATGTTCAAGTTCTTATTAGCTTGTGCTACTAAATTTTGTAGTGACTTAACATCTCTATTTGAGTTGACAGAAAGATTCATGTGTAAGTAGGCTTAGTTCACTTTCAAAGCAAAGAGTGTGCCTCTCTATTTTTCTAACTGTTATCTGCTCTGCAGGCTTCAATTAGAACAATACATGAAATCAGGGCAGGTTGTGGCTATGAAATCAGGTATCATCCATACACTAGACACTGCAATAATACCCAGGCTTGATGCTTAGGCTTGTTTAATCTATCTGCATCCATATAAAATTGGAAATTCAATTGATCTTGGTTTCTCCAACATAGTAAAGATTGCCCTTCCAACTTGAGTTGCATCAGGACTCACTAACTACATTCCTTGTAGGATACTGGATATGATGCTTCTAGTTCGCTCAGTGGCAGAAAAAAAAAAGACAACATGAACCTAGAACAAGTTTGTAGTGAATTGCATACTATGTGCTTGTTGTGCAAAGGGCCTGTTAGGACATGTTAGGAAGCAGTAGCTTCATGTCCTTGTATTGACCAAGGACTTGTTAGGATCCAACTAGTAGCTTCATGTTGACTTGTTAGGAATGAAGCATTGCAAATTAAGTTTTCCCCTGACTTTATTTGATAGACTTTTGTGAATTATGACTTGTGATGATGTTCTAAATAATGGTCTTATGTTTGTGGATGTATATATGTATATTTGTGGCGGTCAAATTCGAATTTGAATTATATATATATATATATATGTGGTCAAATTTGAATTTAAATTTTTTTTTTGCTGGAAATCCACTGTAGGGGCGGTTCTTGATTGAACCGCCCTTACAAATACACACAGCAGGGGCGGCTGGTGATACAGCCGCCGTTACAGAAGTCCACTACAGGGGCGGCTGATATTACCAGCCGCCCCTACAGAGACACCCTCTGTAGGAACACCCTGGGAAGGGCGGCTGGCGCAGCCGCCCCTACAGTTAACTTCTGTAGTAGTGAGATCAGAATTTAATAATTGTGACGGAATCCAGCTAATTAAGGCTCGTTCTACGAAAATTTCCAAAACATCAAATCGGAACATACACTTGCAACATAGCCATTTGTAACATATGCAATATCCAAATATAACACTTGCAACATACGTCTGAAAATAGATGAAACACTTGTAACATGCTTTTGAACATATGCGTGTATAGCCATAGCAACATATGCAATATCTATATCTATTTTTTAACATTCAGATGAAACACTTGCAACGTAAGTCTGACAACATCTAAAATATTTGAACACATACGCTTGAAACATCCAGATAAAACACTTAAAACATACGTATGAAACAACTGAAACATAGATTCGTAACATGTCCGGAAATGCCTGAAACACAACGTCGTTGGCGGTTACGGCCTATCTGGTAGGGAACTGCGGTAGCGCAGGCCTCCCCTTCCTACCAACGATGCGAGGTGGATGGGGGGCGCAGGTGCATGGCTCCCATGCCTCCTCTTCCGCAACGGGCGAGGTGGATGAGGGCACGGATGGGAATGAGCAAGGGCGTGCGGGCGGGCGAGACGTGGGGCACGTGGACCTAGAGGCGCGGGCGACGCGGGTGGGGCGCGTGGATGGACGGTGGATCTTCGCCATTCCAACTATGCAAATACACCTGCATTTATTACTAGCTCCGTCAATTCACAGCTAATAGTAGCTAAGAGCTCCCAACAAATGCAGGCGTGTCCATTGCCCATCCAACTGTCAAGACCTTGAAGAAGCGTCGCACTGCAAAAATGAGTAAATAAAAGAGGGAAAATTTAATGCTGAAAATAAATGTTTTTGGGCGAGAGGCCTTGCAGTATGCAGCGAAGGCAGGGTTTGTGGCGTGGGCTACAGGCCCGGCCAGGATGTGATCCTTAGGGCACGTTTGGATAGCTTGGAATAGAGCCTAAGAATTGATCCGGCCAGGAACACAGCTGTATTTTATATAGGCAAGCAGTAGCAGGAACAGTTTCGTCAAGGATTAAGCTAAAACGAACGGGCCCTTAATCGAATGGACATCTCCAACGGTCGTCTTGTTCCTCAGAGTAACAGAGTGCTGTACAATTTAGTTATCTGTTACGGCCCAGAACTGTATATACATAACAATTGTATCACAGCCATCTCACTGCCACCAGTTGTCAAACCGATCAATGAAGTAGTAGCACGTTCCTTCTATATATGGAGCATGGTATCAAACAAGCGAAGAGCAAGAAAAATATTTTTGCGCTAATGCACAGCTTTTAGGATTAAAGAAAGGTTAACTTCCACAAAAGTAAGTTATTTTGCTATGGAGAGAGGCTAAAAACTTCATGGACCAGTATTCAGAGATCTTTGGATGTGTTGTGGGCCAACTTCCATTTATATATTTTGGCATTACAATAAACCATACAAAACTCAATAACAATAAGGATTGGAAAGCCAGTGAGGATCTTTTCCAAAAAAAAAAAGATGCTGAGCAGCTACAAAGGAATACTTTTTTCTTATGACGACCGACTAGTTTTGGTAAACTCTGTTTTGAGCAGTCATGCGATATATATGATGTCATTCTCGGCATTCCATGCCTTCTTCAACCCGTCAGGCCACCAGGCAGTCGATGGACGTAGCAGGCACCTCCTTTGGTACGGGCTCCAGCAACGACAAACCACCACTCACGCGAGAGCTTATTAGAAACATATATGCTATGTAAATTTTACCACAACACCCTTGAGCAGGGCTGGTTCTACGCTTGAAGGGCCCTCGAGCGAACTTGACAGCGGGCCCTTTGGCTATATATATATATATGTATAATTGTATATATGCTAATGTGCAATTTTATATAGGTATATATAACATATATATGTGTGTAATTTACTTGCAAAGCATAGGAGTCAATTGATGAACAATGACACTATCACGATACATTCTTAGTTTGAGATGTCTATTATTAATAGTGATCGATGAGCAATGACAATATCAAGATACAATGACTAGAAGAACAATAAAAAGGCACTAATATGATTACCTTAAACCTACAAATAAAATCATCAAGGATGATGTCGAGTTCAATAGTGTCCAAGACATCCTTTTCAATGTAGCACATAGCCAGGTGATTCGATCTTTCTCGTAGCATAGTTGACGTTAAATAGTTTTTTCAAATTTGAAGAAATTTCTTTCAGCTGAGGCTATGGTCACAAGTATATATAGTCGAAAGGATTCAATAGGCAACTAAAACATTAGATAGCAATCTACGGCCATAACGAACTCAAGAATATCAGTTGTTGACATCAAAGTATATGGTAGTCATTTGTAGCACCTTCAATTTTGATGTCAACAACGCTTGTACAGATCATCATCATCTAAGGACTTCAAAATTTTCTACAAGTACTTTTCCAAACCACTGTAACAAAGCTCAATTTATACAAGTTTATCATACAGTATTATGTATAGCTTTCAGCAACAGAATCATTTCTCGAGGAGTTGTACTAAACACACTCCACGGCATACAGATGCAGTTTATGAGATCCGAGTCCAACGAGGTGTAGCACTGTTACAAGTCTGTATCAAACGGTCACGCAGTTGAGGACGGCGAGAACCATTGGGTAACATGGTCAAAATAGAAACCCCTTATACACAGTATCTTTTCATAATCTTCGAATGGATTTAAACGTAGGATGGGCCGGATATGCTCCTATATATGATATTGATTCCATCGTCAACCAAGATTCCACTTCCATCACTTGCAAAGCGTCCGTAGCCAACTCCGTCTGCGCAGTGAAATGAGAAGGATTAATGTTTCAAATTGCCCAAACCAGGCTGCTGCTGGCTGCCTGTTGATTGCAGCTCGCTCACAGTCACGGAACAAATAAGCAAGCGAATGTAAGGAAACCATATTTTATATTGAAAGAGAAGTAACATATATATATTACCCCAGCAGATTGAAGAGGGCGCTGCTGATATTGGTCTCCAGGTAGCGAGGATCCCTTGTATACGTGACTGTGAAAATTCCATTTGGACCATTATGGGTATGGGCCTCCACACGACGGATATGGCAGAACTTACTCCAGTCGTAGGTGGATTTTCCCAAAGCCATTGAACAGAGCAGCGGTAGGTCACAGCACAGGTACAAATGGGTGAGGTTGAGACCCCGCAGGTACGTTGGGAGTCTTTCCATGTCGGAACTCTGCAGATTAAGGTACCTAAGTGCTGGGACAGCCTGTAAGACATACATTTGTGAGCAGCAACTGATGTCAAGCTTCTGCAAACTTGGGAGGTTGGTGATTCTCTTCAGACTGTGGCAGCACTTCAGGCTAAGTTCAACGACACAAGGAAGGTTTTCCAGATAGTAAAGGCAATGAACATCTCGAAGGTTCAACATCTTGAGCGCCCTTGCGTAGAAGGAAAGGCCAGGTGGAAGTTGTGTCAATGATCTGCATTTGTTGAGTGTGAGTTCCAACAAGACTGGCATGGCTTCAAGCAGCTCCTCGCACTCCCACTCCCACTCCTCCCAGCGAACCATTTCGATGAAGATCAATTTTTTCAAACTTGGGAATGATACCGACACACGGGAATGGGGCTTATTATTGTGCTTGTGGGTGTGGCGCATCAATTCTGGGCCAACATGCTTGATGGCTGGAGCATGAAGAACAATCAATATCTCTAAACAGGGAAGCTGACACAAGCCATTGGGGAGCTGGGTACAAAGAGCAAGATTCGACAGTTCCAAAATCCGCAGCCTCTCCAGAGACACTCCTGTCATTGACATAACCCATTCTGGAAGTCGACGCCCAAAATATCCATCAATGGTCAAATGATTTATGCAACCTGGAGGACAAAGCTCAGCAAATACCTCCTCAATGTGCCGCTCCTCCTCCTCTGTGACAACTCTTTTGACTGACCCGCCATCATCTTCTATTATACTGCTGCACTTCAAGGCCAAGCGGCCAAGGTGCTTCTTGCTACGTAGCATGGCCTTTGCAGCTAAGGAGCTGGGATGTACATTCTCCAATCCCTTCAGTGAAAGATCCCTAAGCTGAGAAAGAGGACCTAGCTCTTCCAAAGTACACCAACCATTTGCACCACCATCCATGTTGGCTGGAAAGTTCAGTATTTTCCTCAAGTTTGTCAGCTCACCAAATTTCTTTGGTATAATATTTACCGCTTCACCGAGATAAACAGACCGCAGCTGCTTTAACTTTACAATGCCATTAGGAAGTCGTACCATTTTCTCACAACCACTAAGGCCAATATGCTGCAAAAACTTCAATTGGCCAATTGTTTCTGGTAGACTAGATATTTGAGTACTTTCTATGGTCAAGTACCTTAAGAGCTTCAGTTCTCCCAGATGGTCTGCTAATAATGGAATAAAATCTGCATTCTCTAAATGTATTGTGCGTAGTCTGGATAATCTACTCAAAGAATCATTATGCTTAAACCTGATAGGGCAACAAGATATTAATGTTCTCAACGAACTCTGAGTTTGTAGAACGCTCCACTCCAGTTCATCTGAACCTGACTCCACTCCAATAGACAGAAAACGAAACTTGTGTGAAAGAAGACTGCTACCAATACCACCTTCCCCCATACGAGCCACCAGTGCTTCATGTCTAACCATATACTGGCAAAATGAGCGAACAACATCATGCATTACGTAATGTGAATGGCCAATGCATTCCTTATATGGTTGTATAAGGTTCCTCATGATCAACTCTTTGTTGTAATCTCTTCCTATCTGTTCCAGGTCATCTGAGTGTCTACTGCTCACCAATCCTTCACTAATCCACATTTCAATCAGTTGATCAGGACTAATGTTTGTTTTTTGTGGGATAAGTGAGTAGTAAATCAAGCATTGCTTCAAATGAGGAGGTAGATCATCATAACTCAGGTATAGTGCATGGTTTAGCTCTTCGGGCATTCCATCAATAGACCATGCAGGATTATCTAAAACCCTCTCCCACTCAACTATGTTTATAGACCTTTGTCGCAATAGTCCTCCTATCACTTTGATAGCAAGAGGTAAACCACCGCATCTGCCAAGGATGTTCGATCCTATATCCTTCAGAGTATCTATTTCAAGCTGATCTCTCTCCGTTGCTATGACCTGCAGGAAGATTTAAAATTAATGAATGGAATTATATTTGATTGTGTATTTCTGTTTCAGACATGGTTGCAGAATTCCAGCTGCTCCCCTGTCCTGAAATATATGGAAACTATCCTAAATTTGATAGACTTCGTAGATAAGAGCGTTAACATCTACCACATCAAAAAGATAAATTAGCAAAATACATTTTATAATGTATATAATGAAGCTCGATATCATAAATGTTATTACTCTTCTCTACAAACTTGGTTAGAACTTAGGATGGTTCGATTTAGGACATTAAAATCCCTTATATTTTAGGATGGAAGGCATATCGATTCTTTAGTCATTCTTTCTTTTCAAAAGAAAGTCGAAGTAGGTCGTTTTACTTGTTATTATGTCCTCACCTTCCACTAAATAACTACATATCCTTTTAATGTCAAATTGTTAGGTTGATACGTGAACCTGGATCTATATTCCATATATAAACCACCATATTAAGTTATCCATGTTTTTTTTTTAAACAATGAATCATAGTTTCCACTAATATCACAACGTAGTCCAATCAGTGGTTACAGAATCAAGAATACAAGATGGAGCGCCACACATTACAAAGTTAAAATGTAACCTGTCATGTTGCTCATTTTTATGCTGAACAAGCTTTCCTTTCCCAGCACTAGTTTCATAATTCATTAAAGTGCACTTCAAATCTCGAACTACTAGTTTCATAATTCATTCAAGTGCACTTCAAATCTCGAACTAGTTCAAATATCAATAGTTATAGCTATTGCCTAATAAATCAGTTTGCATATTAGAGTAGAACTAAAGACCAATGGCAGATAAATATAGTTGAAAATCATAAATTCAAATTTATGAGAAAATTATGAAAGCAACTAAAAACTATAGTTATGAAAATGTTGTAGCAACGTCAACAACATTCAATTGGCAACATGAGATTTGTAAATACTATCTAGGCATCTGGTCGTATGAAACAATCGTTAGTAGAGTTAGAACATCTCCCGCAAACAACACTCCAAATTGAATTTCGTCCTGTATATCTCCATTTGGCTATCCACTCCATAAAATTCACTCTCCATACTTGAGCACACTCTAGAAGACTAACAAATCTCACTGTCCACAGTTGTTGACCTATATTATATTGGTATTCAAATTAACATGAATTGTACACTTTTTCCTTCATTCTTTAGAATTAAACCGATACTCTTAAGTTCAAATAGTATATAAAACAGTCAATTTTGAGGAATTTTAGTTTAACATCAAAATGTGTTGTCTGTTATTTATTATATCAACAGAAAAAATAGAAGTGATTTTAGAAGATTGATAGTCACCATTTTGAATTTTTGAAAGAGGAGAAAACACTACAAAGAAACAGATCTGCATAGACAAGCAAAGCAGGCAGACCTGGGCAGCTCACTCGCCTCTGATTAAGAGGCTCTGCTAATCAGAAATAACAGAGGCGGTGGTGGGTGGACAGGGGTGGTGCTTGTCTGCCTCTACAGACAACCAAAAAAAATGCAGGCCCACTGGCTGACGCCCACTGGAGATCTGCTGTTGCGCTGTCGCTGAGCCCGTTGCTCGATTCGCTGCGCCGCCTGCCCGATTTGAGGCCTCCCCGCACTGGGGTGGTGGCTCGGCAGTAGGGATGAGAGTGGATTTTTTTTTAAACACGACTTCACGCGTTTTCATTAAGAAGATGAGCTGAAAGAACAGCTTACACAATGCAGCTATAGGAGAACCCAAAGTGCCGGCTACAGAACCACAGAGAAAGTGGTTAGGAACCTAAACGACAGGATAAAAGAAAGAAAGACGTTAGGGAGAGGCCCTCCACCACAAACCTAACCGATTGAACTTGCAAAGGAAAAAAAACATCAACGCAACGCTGACAGCAAGAGAAATAAAGTCGCGGTGGCCAAGCATTCATCAAGAAGCGACAAGACAATGGCAGAAAAGTATCCACAGGAGGGGGGCGATCACGCCTCAGCATCCGGCATGAGGGGGGCGCCCGAAGCAACGGCGGCGGCAAGGTATCCGCCCGAGCAGCAATGACGGCAAAGCATCCGTCAAAGAAGAGAGGCAGTGGCAAGGTATCCGCTGCAAGGACCCAAGCAGCACGGTGGTAAAGCATCCGCCAGAGACCACGCGGCAAAGTATCGGCAAGAGTGGAGCGACATCAGCGGCAAAGTATCCGCCCAGGCAGCAACGATGGCAAAGCATCCGCCAAGGAGATCCTGCGAAGAACCATACGACAGCGGCAACACCATACATCTGAGCTGGGCAGACCAAAGCGAAGAAGGAGCTGAAGCACATGTAGGCATAGCACAGCCAGGATCAACTCCGGCGGGAGAGGCGGGACGGCGGTAGAAGTGCTCCAACGGAGCCTCCAGGAAGGGGATGACATCCGTAGACGCCAACAATGTTGAAAGAAGAGCACAAGGACTTTCGTCCTAGGACCGCCCCCAACAACCCGCGCGACGAGCACAAACTTCAACGACGCCTACAAGAAGGTAGTGGCACAGACTGTACCACCACCGTCGGCCCGAAGCAAGGCACCGGGCAGAGTTTTCACCCAAGTAACAACTGTTCGCCGGATTGGGGTCGTCCCGCCCTGCCGGGGCAGGGGCAGATCCTCCAGCGCCGGCTAGCAGGCAGCCAGCAAGCAGGCCCCGCCCGTCCAGCACACCAGCAATGGCCGACGCTGGTTGGCTGGGAAGGCCCACCCAGGCCAGGACCGGCCACCTAGACGTGGCCGCTGCGGGCACCCAGGCCATGGCCGCCGCAGGCACCTCAACCGCCAGATCTGGCCGTCCCTGGCACCATAGCGTCCCCCACGAGCGAGGCTGGCATCCGCAGCATCCGCCGTCCACCTGGCGCACTGGCCACCGTGGGCTGGCACCGTCCACGTCAGGGCCAGGCAGGCAACGGCCCCGGCCAGACCGGCCAACACGGGCAGGCGTGCGGTCCAGCTAGGCCGTCGCTGCCCCTGGCCCCAGGCAGTCGCTAGCGCCCCCATAGGGGTGGAGGCCGCCGGCACCAGCCCGGATCTGGCCGGCCGCCGCGTGAAGACCCATGGATGCTGGAAGAAGGGCCGGATGCGCTGCATCACCACGCAGAACGAATGGAGGGTACAGGCGCCAAATCCAGCCCCAGGGGGTCCGGATCCGCCGGGGTGGCCGCGTTTCCTCGCCGGAGATGAACCTGGTGGCCGTAGATGAGGGGGAGGGGTGGTGGAGGAGTGAGGGGGAGGAAGGGGGGCTGTGGCTGCACCCTTTTTTAGGGGACACAGCGGGCTGCCGCCGCCGCACGCCAGAGGGCGGCGACGGCGGCCGAAGGAGGGGCCGGGCGAGGGGGCCTAGGGCGCCGGCGCTGTCGCCCCCGAGTCGCACTTGTTCCACAGCAAGAATGGATGAGAGTGGATAGAGAGGGCGGGTGGGAGATAGGGGTCGGGCGTAGGGGAGAACTCACGAACTCAAGGATCCACGACCACGAACAACGCTCGTTCGTCGGGCCGCGCACTCGGCCGGTTTGGCCTCCTTGCACTGCTCTCACCCTCCACTCCAAGCGGAGAGAACAGAGAAGTCTATCGCCGTTCAGGTGGGGTGCAGGGCGGCGACGGTGATGAGAAGGCGGCAGTGTGTATAGATGGACATTTGGGCCGTGCATCCCGGCCTGGCCCGCTGGCACTGGGCCAGGCACGGCAGGCCGTGCCTACTGTGCCGTGCTGAACCGGGCAGCGGGCCTGGCCAACGGCCCAGGCATGGCTGATTGGGCTATTTTTCAGGTTGGGCCGGCCTGAAAAGCTCGAGAATCTTAGTGGGCCGTGCCAGCCTAGCAGCTCGACGAGAGGGGAATGGAGGCGTCGGCGTCGCCCTCAGGCAGGGCGCGGGTAGCGAAGGGGCGGCGGCGTGGCATGCCTGCGACGCATGGTTGCATGGCGCCCCGGATCTAGTTGTAGGGTGGAGCTGGTGGTGTGGATCTAGGAGGGTAGAAGGGCGCAACGCGGAGAAGAAGATGGTGTGGCGTTGGCGTAGGGAAGAAGGGAGTCGGGAGGAAAGAGGTAGCGGCCAGCCACGGGGAGAGAAGTAGAAGGTAGCGGGCGGCTACAGATTACGCGGGAGGCGGCGGCGCTCCACGCCTCCACGAGTCAGAGCGGACATAGAGTGGACATGGACAGTGCCCGAGTAAGTCAATAGACACGTATAGGATTGGATTAATGAAGCCTAGTAAGCTACGGGCCTCCACCGGGCCTGCGGCAATTTAGCGGGCTGGGCCAGGCCAGGCCGCCCTGACGTGCCTAGGCAGCGGCCCAAGCACGACACGCTACATATTTTTTATGACACTAATATTTTTATACCCTCTTTAGAAATAAAATGTGTTGTATCTCGGCCCTATAATCGTTTTCCTTTTATAGTGAAATAATTGAACTTATTTTAAAAGCAAAGCAACATGAAAGAAACCGCTGACTCGCTAATGGCCCCGTTCGGCTGGCAGAATCTTGGCTGAAACTGGCTGGTTCTGTGAGAGAGAAACACTGTTTGGCTGGATGGATAAATAGTGACACGTGAGGAAAACCAGCTGGCTGGCTGGTTTCTTCAGTCCAGCGAACACAGCCAATGTCCCAACAGGGATGGTGAAGCTATTGGCTAATGCGCTCAAGGCTCAATTTCTTAACTAAAAAAGCTACGGCGAATGTGATGACGAGTGTGCTAAAGATGCTTACTGGTTTATATTCTCAATACATCCAAGCACACAATATATCATTCTACCCCGAGTCTCCACATTAATCGTCATAAAAGGTATACTAGAAAATGATAAGTCCAAGAAATTCCTACAAATATAAAAAAAATCTAGCCATCAATGATTTGCTCTAATCACCATTTACCTATAGCTATTGGATATTCTGTTTCCTTAGAATTACCCGCATTTATCATTATTATAAATAAGATAAAGTAAAGCCCTCAAACTACATCTAAATTGCCCACATCTGTCATTATAAAACATAATATATAGTAAGCACTAAATTTGTGAATAAATTACCCATCATGGCATTATGATGATAATATAAGTAGCTCCTTAAATTTTCATCTATACTATTCTCTTTTGCCACTATTAAAATAAACTAAACATTCTCTCAAATATACATCTAAATCACCAATGTGTGCTATTATGAAAAAAAAAGTTAAGGTCACTGTAAATTACAACTATATATGTCTCTAAATTACAAACTTTTATCACTATTAATCACTTAAATTAAACATACATATGGTACCTTCATATAGATCAAGTATACATGAATACATGAGCAATAAATATATATTTATATGTTTTAGTAATCATGAAAATTATCTCTCTTCATGGCTCATATATACTAATGACAATAATAACCGATCTAATATCATATTGATATCTATGACAATTATTTATGCATTTTGTTACTTTGAATCATTTTATGCATTTTGATTAAGACATTATGATATATTAGCATAATTGTAAGCACTTCATTTTTTATAAAAAATACTATTGTATATATAATTCTTTGAGAGAGGAAATCCGACACCTTAAACAGTGCAGAAGGTTAATGCAGATAAAAATGTTCAGGACCTTCCTGTTTTATAGATTTCTTTGAGTAAACATTCAGTATTATATACTTAAATATTATTGTTCTCTTGAGGTTACCACTATTGCTCCCTCCTTCCAAATCCCACTTCAAAGCACTGTAGTGCAGGTTTAATGACTGTTTATGCGCTTATAGTAATTAATTATAGAGTCTAGATCTAAATCCTTATTTTTAATAAAAAACAGAAAAGATAGTTTTGGTTAAATTTATTATAAACACAAGCATATAACAATTTCATTTTTTTTAAAAGTCAAAATATAAATTCATGACATAATATGACAGTGCTGCAATAGGAGCTGCCATAATTTAAGCTAAGGTTTTAACTAAGTGCATATGGAAGGCACATGGAGGTGCTATCAGAGGGAAAAAACGATGATATAGATGGAAAGCATATAAATTAAGTTTGTTATTTTATCACAACCGGATAGAGAAAACAAAGTATCTATATGGGTATTGGATAAAATAACAAAGTGAGAGGACAATGATAAGTAATTTTAGGTAGATGTAGGTACTAAGCAGTAATGATTAACGTTTTGCTTCTTCTAAGATTCTAACAGTGCAAGAGCAGCGTGTTCTGAGCCCGGGTTGACAGACTAGTATATGTATTAATTTATTAAATAAACACATGTTGAGGAAAACTCAGTCAACAGACAATGTAAGTTACATTAGCATTGCTATTCAAAACATTTGCAGAAAAAAGTGTATTGTTTGATGATTCAAAGTAAAGATAAGAAACGTTTCTGACCTCTTTTTTGAGCAAGGTCCACGCGTCTTGAGGCCCCAAGTAGTTAACATGGTGGAGGTACTGAGCCTTCATCGAACGGGCGACTCGATCATCTCTCGTTGTGACAAGGACTCGGCTTCCACGAGCAACGTAACTGAAGGATGCCTTGAGCACATCGTTCCACTTTGCTGCAGTCCACATATCATCTAGTACCACAAAGATTTTCTTGTCCCTGATTGTGTCTGCAAGTGTTGACTCAAGCCGAGACTTCCCATCATCATGGCAATCTCGTCCTTCAGCATGATGGATGGCCTCCCTCAAAAGTTCGGTTTCAGTGCAGGCCTGAGTGATACTCAACCACATCCTTATGCTGAATTTGTCTTTGATGGTTTGATGGTTGTAAATATTCTGGGCCAATGCGGTTTTGCCGATGCCCCCAGGGCCAGAAATGGCAACCACAATGTAATCATCTGGATGATTGCTCCACCATTCGCCTGTCAGCATATTCACCAGATCAACTGTATCCTCTTCGATTTTCTTCCCAACCAAGCTCGATCGCTCAATCACCGGCGAAGTCTTACTGCCGGCAGGATGAGTAAGCATCCCCCTGTCCTGCTGGTTATTCTGCTCCATTCTAATGAAGTTGAACTTAGCACCGCTTTCGCAGATGCTGTCAAGCTTCTTGTTGAGATCCTTGATGCGGGTTCCAATGTCATGGGTGAAGACAGGATTCCGCATGCAGAATGATATGGGATTGAAGCACCTCGATTCTGCACACATGGTGGACTCCTGCCCCTCCTCAGCCTGAATAATACAGATGTCAAGGATGTCAGTTGCCTCGTACATAACATCCTTCAGCATCAGCACCCACCACTGCACGGCCTTCTCTGTTATGCGTCTCCTCTCCGCGTCAGCGAGCACTGCCTTGAGGTCCTGCAGTTTTCCCTCCAGCTTGTTCATCTCATCGGGAACCCCATACAACATGGCCACTTCATCAGCTGCCATCTTTATCAGCGTGTCTATCACAAAGGATACCATCGCATCCAGGACCGCCGCCATGGTTTGTGATGTTGTGGCTTCTACGAGAAAATATTTTATATTAGTTCATGTACCTTTTCAGTTCAATCATTTCATCAACTGAATATAACAAGAGTGTTACCTCCACTACAATTTGCTTGCTCCTCGGTACAGACTAGTATTTGATAAAGAACGTCTGATGCAGGGATGAAGGTTCACGTGCAAATATATAGAACGGCCGTAGGTAATCGAGATACTTTTACATTTAGTAATTTGCTAATTTATCAATCCGTTCAGCCATATGATATGAATATGCCAATCTTTGGGATGCGACGACTCAAATAGCAGTCAGCAACTGATGGGGAATGCAACTTGTACGGATGTCTCATAAACTGACAAACTGCAATGCGAACGCCAAGCTTCGAAAGTTCACAATGGTATGACTCTGCACCAAAGAACACGAATTGTTGAGATGTACAGGCCATTTGTTCTGCAAGTCCAAAATGTTCAGAATGGTACTCACAGTAACAGTAACTCCATTACCCGTTATTTATCTTTATTCTTTTTTTTTGGGTTAAAAACTGTGAAAACTCTGCCGACTCATCAAGAGAAGTGTAAGAAAACAAATTACAGAGTACCAATATGGTAATACGCCACTGCAGCTTAATCCAAAACAGTGGAAAATATTAGGTGGAAACTGACTTCTCTATGGAATCGTGAAAACCCCAAAATAGGATACCCAGAGGTTTTTAACAGCCTAAAACTTGGCGCACCCAAAGTGCCTATTTATGGAGATATATTTTGCCGCAAAAGTTAGAATTTAAATTTAATATATAAATTTTCCTATAAAACTTAAAAAAATTGCATGCGTCCAAACCAGAAAGACAAAATTGTCTTTTGGAGCACATGCTTGAAATTTGATATTTTTATATGATTTTTTTAAAATATGTCAAATTTTGGATTTTTTGAAAAACTTATAGATACATTTTTAAGAAGGTGATTTCCACCAAAAATTTCCCCAAAACAAAAAAAACCCGACAAGAATAAAATAACAAGAACAAGTAAAACTAGGCCACTATATTTCACAAAAAACCTAGGCCACAATAAAATTTTTAGTCATAAGTTGTCTACGATCTCTACCAACTTTGCTATGTGGGATAGATATACAACCACATCTACAAGTACCATGGTTCAACATTGGGATGAATGATTGATATGTGGTGAAATTGGTAGAGGGCTATTGGGATTGCATGAACCTGTTTGCATATGTTTATGCTATGCTGCTGTCTGCTGCTGTCAATATACTCATCATTTCATCAAGTGCGAAACCATGAGATCATGGGAAGACCTAGGCTTATTATTAGCAATTAACAACTTGTGCATGCTTGGTATTGTGCATTTTTGTGCTTGATGAAGAGCATGCTTGGATTGGTGTGCATGTAGTTACATGTAGGGTGCTGTAATACATGTTTTGTTTATATCACTAACTAGTGGTCACAATAATGTTTTGTTGGAGAAACTCTTTTTATCTCATGATGTATATGTGTGGGGGTGCATCATGGCTACTAGGGAGGAAATGGTGAAGGGAAAGGGAAGGATTAGCGCCAATGAACCACGGTGGTGAAGGGAACGGAAAGTGCAGGCTTCACGTTGATGGATCGTGCAATGTGAGCTGGACTCACAAGAGAATCACATTTGCAAGAGACATGTAGTGAAGAGGAAGTTGGTATTGCATTAAATTATACATGATGAGTTGCGAAACAAAAACCTACAAGGGTAACCTTAATGATAGACTTTGAGAAGGTATAAGTGGGACTTTGAGGAAGATATGCTTTAACAAGAAAGGTTGCAATCAAAATATCATTTAGTGGATTACGTGCATGGTCCGAGGGCGTTCAAGTTTGTATTAACATCAATGGGGATATTTGAAACCGCGTTTAGGTCCCTAGTAGGCTTTGGTGTAATAATGACAAGCAATTTAGGGACTAATGATGTCTATGAGATTGTGTACAACTTTTAGACACTTTGGAGCAATATTGAAGTATCCCAACCCCTCAAAAAGAAAAGAAAAATCACATGGACAATAAAGGCTTATAATTCATTTTATATTTTGAGATTTTGATTTTAGGATTGCCTTCCTATTAAGGGGGATACAAATCTTAGCAACAAGTATGGAGGCTCTAGACATTTCCAGAGGTTCTGAATTTGAGAGCGTTCTGCTAACCAAGTGCATAGGTTGGATTCTTTTGTGGGGGAGTATTTATAGTCATCCCCCTTATTCTCCAATGGTCACCATGTTCATTTATTTCAACTTGACATAAGACAAAGGGCACCCTTGTTGATTTTTGAGAGACTTGGTGTGAGATTGAGAGAAGATAAGGGAGAGTGCTAGATAAACTCAAATTCATCTTTTGAGCACTCTTTTTCTTTGTCAATTCGGTGGATTTGTGTTCATTACTCTTAGATTTTGATCCTAGATGGCTAGACGGTGCCCATTGAAGCACCCAAGTTTTGTGGTGTGCTCCTACAAGGTTTGCATCACCAAACATTCTAGTGACACGATTGAGCTTGATCTTTATGGTCACTTGAGAAGAGGATAGAGTTGGATGAGACTCAAGACCTTTATGGTCTCCTAAAAAATGAAGATGTAGGCATGCCTTGGTGTTGTGGCCAAATCTTGATATAAATCCTTGTTTCACTTGTACTTTATGCTTGCTTTAATTTTTAAATACCACTTATGCGTTGGCTTTTAGTATTCTAGTTGTTCTATCTACTCTTATGCAAGGTTTTAATTGTAGTTGTGGCAAGGAATAACTCTTACCCCGGATATGTAAGCCTAGTACTTTTCCAATTCAACTCTTACAACCATTTACTTGGTGATTTCATTTTCTTAACATGTGGAACCTCTAAAAGAGTGTGGAGCTTCGAGAAATTTTGCAGAACCGCTACAGGTCGACTGATTTGCTACTTTGAGTTGGAAAGAATTTTTTAAGTTCAGCCTATTTAACCTCCTCTCTAAGCATTGTTAATTAGACCCTTTCAAGAGTGTATGGAATATGGTGCAGAGCGTGTCTCCATCCAAGATCGTTGAAAGTTCAGAAATTTAAATCTAATAATCATAGAATAAAACAAATATTTGGGCCTCTAAACGATCTCAAATGAAAAGGTTTTCAAACACAAAGTTAAAGATCGCAATGGGATCTATAACTTTGATATAGATTATGTCAATGTTCGAGGTCATTTGAAAATTTTTAAAAAATTGAATTTTAAAATATAGGAAATTAAAATAAATATTTGCGTCTCTAAATGATCTCATATAGAAATGTTTTCAACTACAAAGTGTTTTAGATTGTATTTAGAGCTATAATTTTGCTATAGACCATGTCAACGTCCCATGTTATTTGAAAAATTCAAAAAAAAAAGAATTTCAAAATCCAAAAACTTAAAAATGAATTTATAAGCCTCTAAATGATCCTAGATAAAAAAGTTGTCAATAAAAAAGTTGTAGATCGTATTAAGAACTACAAATTTGTTGTAGACCATGTCAACATCCTAGGTTGGTTGAAAAATTTTGTAATCTGAAATTCAAAATCTGATACCTTAAAACAAATATTTGAGCCTCCAAAAGATCTCAAAAAAAATTTATCAACTACAAAGTTGTAGATTGCATTGATCTCTATAGTTTTGATATAAAGTTTGTATTCATCCAACTAAACATAAAAAAGTTATGATTTTTTAATATAGAAGAAAGAGAAATCATTTGACATGTGGGCCCACTTCCATGTTAGTAAAACAACCTAGGAAACCACTTTGAAATGATTATGGTGGGTATTTTATCTGGTTTTTGAAAGTTAAGGGATGTAAGTTGTCTATCATTTGAGTTCGAGGATGTTTTTTAAATTCAGCGACAAGTTTAGATTGGTAGATTGGACATTACTCATATACTATCACTTATACTATCACAAAACAGAATATCCTTGAGGGTCAAAAACCCTGGAGGAAACCATGAAATCTGCCAACGAAATTATTTTTGGCGGCCAATACTCAAGGAAAGACTGCCAAAGGTAGATAGAAAGGAAAATAGCTATTACCTTTAGGGTTGGTCGCTACAAATTATTTTCTAGGGGGTTTAGCCGCCAAGGAAACAAATATGAAGTTACATTTTTAACACGTGCAATTACCTTGACGGTTTCAGACTAGCACTCAAGGAAACGTGCAATTGCCTTGGCGGTTCAGACTAGCACTCAAGGAAATCTATGATTAAAATAACATGGCAGTTTGGTTTAGCACTTAAGAAATATGTATTTCCTTGAAGGTTTTCTACCACTGCCAAGGTAATGGTATATTCCTTGAGAGTCCAATCTCGCCCCTCAAGGAAATTAGTGATCATCAAGGATATTCTATTTTGTGGTACTAGTACTAGTTTTGGAAGTGAGACAGGTGTTTCATGCCCAAAAGAATTACACAAGGGCAGAAATAATGGGCACGTCATCATCCGGTAGGGGCTCACACAAAAATCCACAGGTGATTCAACTTGCAAAGGCGGTAGTCCAATTTCAAATTTGAACTAATCCACGGAAAGAGAAACAAAACTTTGAACACGCTTGTGAATATACACACATACACACCCACACATACATACTATGATCATAATGAGAGAGAATCTGACCTTGACACACAGTGCACCCTGTAAGATAGTTTCCCTGCGTAATCAGGTATACTCCAACATACAGCTGCACCTGTCACCTGTGTGTGTGTGGCCTTTGAGCTGCGTGTGGTTGGCAAGGTTTCAGTTGCAGGTGTGGAAGGGAATAGCTTTTACCCAATATAGGTCAGTGTAAGCCTAGTACTTCGCCAACTAAACTCAGAACAATTTTCTTGGTGATTTTGTTTTTGTTGTAACATGTCAAGCCTCTGGACAAGTGTGGAGGTTCAAGAAAATTTGTGGGACCTCTACAGTTTGACAGATAGGCTATTTTGAGTTCGACAGAAATTTTTTAGGTTCAGCCTATTCATCCTCGTCCTGAACTATCAGATTCTTT